GTACAGTTAAATGGGGTAGAGATGTCTCAGTCTTAGTCCAGTATCTGTCAGTGCCACGTTCCAGTCCAATATTTGGGGTTTTGTGGATGATACAGCTGCACAGTGCACGTTTTAACTTATGAAACAGTCCAGTTTAGGTCCTCTATGCTCAGCTGCCAAAAACCTGGAACACAGGACAGTATTTTGAGTTGGTAATGCTGAAATTTTAAGCAGCGTATGTGTGAAATACACAGTGATGTAATGCAAAATTGTATTTTTTACAATTGAATTCTTTTGATAATGTGTACGTTGATAAAAGATGACTATGTAAACATCCAACTGGCACCTCAACGTGCTGATGCACACACTGCTCGCTCTGCTGTCTCTCATTCTAGACAAACTTTAGGTAAATAAGCTGAGCGACGATCAGATTGCTGATAGGTGGTGCAGAAACAGATTGTGCCACCATCGTAGTCAAGCTACCCGCTGAAGATTCAGACCTGTTTTTACAGCAAGGCTCTGCCTTTTTCCAGTGAAACGACAACAAAGTGCTAGAGAGAATGCACAACTAATAAAGTAACAAAATATAAGGAAAGAAATTCTTTCAGCGCGCTCTTGATAATATAAATTCTCACTTGGCTGCAGCTTATGAGAAACATGTCTTACTCCATTCGAGCTCAACGGCGCCTTCTGAAGATTCAAACCTAAGCTGGGGATGTAATGGTTGAAAAAACAAATTGAAATGAATTCAAAACATCAAACATTTTTGTGTTAGTTTAATTTTTGAAGTTGAAAGCTGCTCAGTGTAAGTTTTGTGGATTTGGAGACCTCTCTGGTGGAAATGTGTAATTGAACACAATGGCCTGAAGATCATTTTGTAATGTGGGTGGTGCTTCGGATCCCTTCCCCAAGGGGATGAATATAATAATTGTGAGCGTGTTGAAAGAGAATTCAAAGAGAACTTGGTCAAAACTTGCCAAAGAATGTGTCTTCTGATGATATTAGTGACTAATCTACTACTGTCATCATATCTTCATCAGTATAAAACATACAATAAAAAATACACACAGCTCCTCTTTACTAGGCCCAAATGATTCTAATGGTTATATTATTATTTTTGCAGTTGAGGTTAAATAATACTGGAATCTGGAGATGCTACAGCACCCCCACTTCAAATCAAATCAAATCAAATTTATTTGTATAGCGCTTTTTACAACTGATGTTGTCACAAAGCAGCTTCACAGAAATCCGTTTAGAACAAAGTTTCAACATGAAATGTAAATCCTCCAGGTGAGCAAGTCAGGGGCGACAGTGGCAAGGAAAAACTCCCTCAGAGCTGAGGAAGAAACCTTGGGAGGAACCAAGGCTCACATGGGGGGGACCCATCCTCCTCTGGTCAAACTACGTACAAAATTATTATTCTACTAATATTAATAGTAGTAGTAGTAATAGTTAGGAGACTTCAGTGTAGAGTGGGCAGCCAGTCCAAGGCAGGTGGACTTCCCATGTCCTTGTCAGTTACTTAAAAATATTACATTAAAATCACTATATTTTCAGTAGGATGTGCATACTTTGAACTGTGTTCTGCTATTTAGACCACATCTTTGAAAAATTTAATATACATCTTTCACATTTTATCTAGCATGAGAAATGTTTTTTTTCCCAGCTATCTCCAAGTGTTTAATAGCTGTCCACTCACATTTTATACGCAACTAGTTTAACTGTTCATGAATGAAAGGCGGCTAGCTTGACCACAGTTGAAACTCTGGCATTGCAGGTATTACAAGTAGCTGTGGAGCTGTTTTCATTTTCCACCTTAAAATAGTTCCTCATTGCAACACTGCACATAGAAAACATACCTTAACGCCACAAATTGTGGATAATGGCTTTAAAAGTCAACCTTAAATAAAAATTGACCTTTTTACATTGTTACTGCATGTCATATCAAGCACAGTTCATCATATTACATCATTTTAAAGAGAAAATTCTAGTTTTCCCAAGAAATGTAATCAAAATTGAATGACTTTGACCTGCCTCTAAAATGTCTTCGGGGTTTTGATGACATCACCATGCACGAGTGGGAAGGGCAGAATAATATTAACCAATAATATCATGTTTAAACCCCACCTATCATTTAACCCCTACCTATCATCAAGAGAAAATGCTTGGCTCGCTCAGAGACCCTCCCGGTTTCTGTGTTTCATTCGCAAATACATCACAGTCTGGAAAGAAAATAAGTTTTATAAAGGATTGGAAATGGATTGGGCTTAATTCCGAAATTCCTTTATCCGCTCAGATCCTGATCTTTCAGATCCAATCAGGACGTGGTTCAGAATGCTCTCAAAATGTCACTGGCTGTAATTTCCCACAGTGTCTTGTAAGGGTGCAGGGCGAGGGCACAGCAGCCCGTGCTCACGGAGAGAGGAATAAGGCGCGCTCGCTGTGAAACGAGGTGTTTAACGTTACACGAACGGTCAGGCTCCATTTCCTTACCACAAAGTGGGTGACCCAGTCGTGACATGTGGAGCCTGCTTTATCTGTCAGTAGCCAATTTACATGGAGAGGGATCGTTGGAGGACTCCGATTTCACAGCCAGTCAAGTCTCCTTTCACAAGCGCTCATCAGAGATAAACCCACACACGCACACCTACGCTGCTCTGTCGCACTGCAGGCCTATCCTTTACTCCCTCGCTCCATTCCTCCGTTTACTGCTTTCTGACTTCTGTTTCAGAAAAGCGCCCCGTTCTGTAAAGCTAAACCTGCCCGCGGGCCACCAGATGGTACGTTTTCACTGCTGAGAATATTTGATGTAACGGTCCTAATTGAGACTGAGCGCTGCAGTCAGGGCCAACGTGTGGCTGCACAGCTGGCTCTGGCAGACCTGTTTGATTTTGGTGTGTGTGCGTGTCTGTTACTGTTCTTTTCTGGTTAAATCCTTTTGCGTTGTTTTGTGGAAGTGTAGCGATACATGGTTTTCAGGTTCGATGTGATTTCTGATTCTAAGATCAAGACTGGAGTTGATTTTAAGTGCAGTCTTCTACAGTCTTCTTTTTCTTGAGTTGCTATCCTGAACATTTTACATCCTGAACATTTTACACAGCCGATCAAAGCTCTTCTCTGTGGAAGTGCTGCCGTTTGTAAAGGGCTATCGAGGACTAATAAGCCCCAGAGATTGCAGCCTGTAAAATTGACAGGTGTTTTCACACTTTCATTCTTTATCAATGAACCAAACTCAGTTCTTTTAAAGTGAACCTGAAAGGGAACCAGCTGCAACTGACCTCAGTGCTTTAAAGGGGACTTGGTTCTCTTTCTGGGCTTCTTTAGCATTTACGAGAACTCCTTTAGAACTTAGGGTAATACTGAATTGTCAGTACTGTGGTTCAAGTTCATCAACATGAAAGCTTTTCAAAGAAAAAACTAAGTATCTTAAGACAAACCCTAAGAAGTCTATAATGTTCTAACAAGCAATTCTCATAAAAAAAACTTCAAACGTTCTCCAATATTCTCTTAAAGTCCTAATCATTTTCCTAAGAAAGTCTTAATTGTTTTCATATGCAGGCTGTAGGTTATTTGTCATGTAGACTATCAATATCAACCCTTTAGTAAAATATTCTAATTGTACCCAGCTATTAAAAACCATAAAACAGTTGTTAATGAAATTATCTTAGATCTAAATTATTTTTATTGAACATTGCAATTTATTACAATGTATGGCTGTATATTATATTGTATTTTATTATACTCTGTTTTTTTGACATTTGTGTAAAAGCACTGAGCCACTTGATTATTGTGTGTTACAGTAATTTCACCACAGGTGGGGGTTTAACTCTGTGTCACCTACCATCACTCTTTAAATAGAAAAGAAATGTAAATCTCACGGCTTATTTCTTTAATGTCTTTCACCAAGATCGCACAAATTAACGGGCCGACGTTCTCCTGAGGAGTTTGCTTTTACCCCCTAAGCTCTGCAGGACTGTGGCTGTGTAGTGTTAAGTTGGCTGATCTTCCTCACCCACTTCACTCTGAGACGATGCACCCAGATTTTTGATCACTGTCTCTGGCCTCCGCTGGAAGAGAGTGAAGCTTTAAGTTTCAGTGTTTTGTTTCAAACATTAATTTTTGCACATTTTCAATACTATATTAACATTGTTGCCAAGCTCCAGCGTACAGAACATCCGTAGGTGACACCAGGGTGGGACATTAGCAGAGAACAGGAAATTCCTCAGTGCTGTTACTTGGCATGCGTGGAACGTTTTAGAAGTGAAAACTGAAGCTTTCAGAAAGCGCTTTTGAGCAGATCACTGCGCTGTGCTGAAACGTCTGAAGAATGCCTTTGAGTTTGATTGCAGAGTGGGCCTTCTTGGGGGAACGCACGCCCCTCTCCAAGAGAAAGCATTTGAATTCACCTTCTCGGAACACGTCGTTTTGTGAAGGCCTGCTTGTTTACAGCACATTTCTCATTAGGCTTATCTCTTGCCGTCCAATCTCGCTGTGGAGTTTTTCTGACGCAGCCACTTCAGAGCACCTCTGTTACATACAGCGCCGGGTTTTGTTTAGCCAGACGATTAGCATCTCTCTGGCGGAGGCATGAGGGCTTAGATGGAGCTTAAAGTGTGATAAAACCTCACGCTGGAAACATGAATAGTAAACATCTTATCCCTCTCTGTGCAAAGGGCATGCGGTTCGATGACATCACAGGGGAAATTTTAAAAAGCTGAATAAAATCAGCAGGTATAAAATATTTCTCCTTTTAACAGTTCGGGACGGACTGCATGCGGAGCCGCAGCTCGGCTCTTGCTCCAGTCCGATGATAAAGTTTATAGCTCAGGTGGTCAGGTTCCCTATTAACTCCAGTAATGGTTCCTGTGGATTGGTAAGTTTAATTGTCTGATCGCATGAAAGGGCTGTGGAAAAAGCAGATTAACGCCAAGTGAAAAGGCTTTGTTTTTTTGTTTTTTTTTTTCCCTCTCTGAAAGCGTCGGTGTTTGAAATGTCTTTTTGTATATGTGTGTCTGCTCCAGGCAGAGAGCGCGTCCAGCGGCTGGCGGAAAACACAGTCTATTTCCGTAGGAGGCTACGGGAGATGGGCTTCATCATCTATGGCAACAACGATTCACCTGTGGTTCCCCTGATGCTCTATATGCCTGCCAAGATTGGGTGAGCTTCCACTTTTCAGCCTGCATCACAACTCTGCTGGGGAGCAAACGCGTGAACACATGAGTTCAGCCCGGAATGGCTGGCTGTAATTCACTGTGTCCACCATTAGTAGTGTTCAAAAGATGTTTAGGACCTTAAGCCTTAAGAGCCTAGACACACAATAAAACTGAATACTGAAAAATGTGATATTATATTTAGTTGTTGAGGCGTCTTCTTAGAAAAAAGTAACTTCTACTTAACGGACATTTGGGCTGGAAATAAAATAAATAGTGTTCTCTGACTTTTGTACGGTTCTGCTATTGAATAATTCATGGTTGTTACTGAATTATAAGCCTTGGGATTAATAGCTGAATAATAATAATAATAATGATGATGATAATAATAATAATAATAATAATAATAATAATAATAAAAAAATAGCCAAAGTTGCTTTTAATACGGAGCCCTGGAAAAGACATGGTTTAAAAAAAAAAAAGACATAGGTTTTTCTATTATTCGTAAAAAAAAACAAAACTCCTGCCTATGAAATGACCTGAGATTGTTAATTACCTCAAATTAATTATTTTGGGGTAATTTTCTGGACGTCTTCTTCTTTGACACACAGGTTATTCTCTAAAAACTTTGCATGCATCCAGCTATGGCCATTAAGTTGTCCAGAAAGCTGTAGCGGTTCTTTAATAAAAAAAAAAAACAAAAAACAGTACCTTGGATATATTGGTGTAACCTTTCCTCCAAAACAGTCTGTTGCATTTTAAAACATTTCCAATTGTGCTCTGATGTAAAATGACGATGTTTGTTGGCAAGCACTGAAAAATGACTGTAAATGTGCTCAAGTTTTCACTATATTTCTTGAGAAAATTATCTTGAGAAAATTATGTCGAGATAATTAATTTAAGAAATCCCAGGTCATTTTGCGGGCAGGAGGTTTTCATTTCTTTTTAACCCATTATAGAAAAAAATGTCGTTTTATTCCCTCCTCCCATGTCCTTTTGGGATCTCTGTACTTTTAATGTTGGCTCTACAAAATTTTAAAAAGAGAGACATGCATTTTTTAATTGCTACCCTTTGATTTGTCCAGGGCTTTTGGTCGAGAGATGTTGAAGAGGAATATAGGTGTGGTGGTAGTGGGCTTCCCTGCTACTCCTATCATCGAGTCCAGAGCACGCTTCTGTGTGTCTGCAGCCCACACCAAAGAAATGCTAGATCAGGTAATGTACTAGAACCTCTCTAACACAAAGAACACTCCTCCACCATGTTGCTGTGTCAAACCATCCATGCAAAGATTTTACAAATACTCCAGATTGGCCTGGTGGATCAGATTAGGGCTTCAGTGTTTAGGCGATTAGTTGCGAACAGTGAAGCTATATTGCCCCCTGTGTTTTAGTTGCAGTGCATTGCAGTCTGTTGGAATGACAGCATGTAGCATCTGCAATTCTGTCCATGTTGTAGCAAAGGGAGCAAAGTATTGGATGCTTTTTGAACCAATGCTGTCCAAGTCTCTACTGAGGTCAGGTGACAGCAGCACACGGTTCATCTGTAGGCCTGAGGAGGAGGAAGAGAGGGGAGGAAGCTCACAGAGGAAAGCCTCTCATCTACAAAAAGACCAGAAAGCTGCAAAAAGTCTCACCCGCTGCAGAGCCTTTACATGAAAATGTGTTTGAGGGGAGAAATGTGACAAACCCATAAATAATGCTGAGAGGATCATTAGCTGACAGCAATAAAACACACATGAAAGACTGGGAGTGACATCAGAGAGAGAGAGAGAGAGAGACTGTAATTGATATCCTGGTTAAATAAGTTTCTGATGTCAGGCCTTCGTAGCTTCTCCGTTCGGCTAGCGAGCAGATACACGGAAAACATCTCGCAGAAACGGCTGAGAAATGCGTGGATGCGATAACCGGTCACATCAAAGTTGGGCCTGTTTTCTTAGAGGGGAGGGGGCTGGAGGGGTGGGGGGTGACGGCCGGAGTGCTTTTCAGCATGGTTAAATCAAGAGTCCTTGGGGAGGCAGATTAAGATGCTCTTTGATCTCCTGCCAGAGCAGACCCCTGTGGCAGGCACTTCTTATGTAAACCCCTCAACTGCGGGCTGCCAAAGAGAGCTGACATTGTCAATTAATTTATGGCATGGGACACTTTGAAGATGCAGCCTCGCATTCCTTTATCAGTAATTGCATTCAAACAAAGAGGGGAGTATCAAGTTAGAGACACTAAACTTCAGAGGATTGATGGACTGGGGCTTGAACTCTGTTATGAGAGGTAACTGTGGCGTGTGCTCTCGTTTCTCGAGGGAAAAGAAACCCTCTTCATTCCTCGACCCTGCCGTGCTGAGGGTGTTTCATATAGGCGGTTAGATTTTGGAATCAAATAGTAGTTTGGTGTATTTAGAAAGGCTGCAACTAGCAGTTTTTTTCTATGTTCAGTTAATTTATTGAGTACTACCAAGTCGCTTCACAGCGCTGGCATCATTCAGTCATTGAAAGTTTCTCTTCAAGTGACTTAATTTTGTGTAATGGAACAATAGAAGCTTTGCTGCCCCCTGTGTTTTCTGTGGTGCATTGCAATCGATCTGAATTAAGTATTAGGGCTGTCGAAATAAATTTCAATATTCGAATATTCGTCAAATCCAAAGAAAAAAAAATCACATTAAAATGCAGAAAACATTCATTTGAATGTTTAAACCCTTTGCTGCTGCACCTAGACTGACGCCAATTACTAACCACTCCAAAGGAAGGGAAAATACCATTGCAATTTATTTTGCCTTTCATTACAACTGAATGGGGCCCTGCGATGGACTGACGACCTGTCCAGGGTGTTTCCTGCCTTCCACCAAGTAACCGCTGGGATAGGCTTCAGCTCCCCCGTGACCCAGAATGAGCGGCTTAGAAAGTGTGTGTGAAGAATTTAATAGGGTTTTTATCATCTATGGGAGAAAAAGGTTTTCAGCAGCTGAGTCGTTCTGAATGTGGTGACGTTTACTTCATAAACCGAATAACACTATTAGGTAAAAATATATCCTTGTGTGAGGAAACCGAATGATGTGCTTAGTGCCCCTTGTGGATTTAGGAGAAATAACACTGACTCAGAAATCTGATGTGTACCGCAGTTATGTATCGTCATATTTACTTCACAAAATAATGTAAATACTTTTTTTAATTCAGCAAAAATGCATTTAAAATTTAAAAACATTCAAAGATCTGATAAACAAGGGGAAATTCAAACTCTCAGATATAATGTATGTAACTGTGATCATTGATCATTTATGTAATTACTAGGGCTGTCAAAGTTAACACAGTCATTTTTAATGCTCTTTTAATCCTAGTTTGACCCTTGAAACCATCTGCAGTAGTGCAGGTTGAGGCCCAGCTGCAGCGCACGGTTTGTTGCTATGGTAGAATCAGTGGTTGTAGCCCTATCGTTCAAATACAGCCTTTAAAGTGATCCCTTCAGCACCTTCAGCAGACTGTGCTTTACAGCGCTTGTGAAAGATCTTTGGATAAATCAACCAGCAGCAAACGAACAAAAGCATCAGCAAAGTGGAGCTCCAGTTCTCCTCGAGAGACTCCACTGTAGCTAGAACCCACGGGCTCTAGGAATAAGAGTGAGGCTGCAATCACAAAAGAGACCACTGACTCTATATGATATATATATATATATATACACACACACACACACACATGATATATACACTCATTGGCGCATGCAGCCACTGTTGCTCTCACTGGACATTAGCAATAAAAATTGGAAACTCACACTTTTTAAATGAATTTGTCTTATTTATTAAAATTAGACAAATACAATTATTCACATTTAACTACAAAGAATAATTAGATTCAGTATTTTTTGCATCATTTCTATTGAATAATTATTATTGAAAGTAGTAATTATAAAAGTTACTGTTCATCTGCTGAATTTAACATAACGGGGAAACATTTGACCTTAAAATGCGATCTGTGCAAAAGTTATGGCACATTTTATGCTTTTATGTTTTGTTTTATTTATTTTTCAGTATATTAAACTGAGCAAATAAATAGAGATTGTGCACTAAAATTTGCAGAAAAATGCCATATTACTGTGTTCTCTGTACTGATTTATATTCACTTAAAAAAAATCAGAAAGTCATATCACTTGATCAGCGGTGTTCAAGCTTCTGTACACAACTGTATGCAGCTGTGGTCTCACCAGACCGTACATTAGAAGCTGCCTGTGTGATTCTGACAGCATGGTGTTGTCTGTTGTTCACAGGCTCTGAGTGCGATCAGTGAAGTGGGCGACTTGCTGCAGGTGAAGAATTCCCGACACAGAATCCTGCCCACTCTCGACCGGCCCTTTGATGAGACCACATATGAGGAGTGTGAAGACTGAGAGTCTTCCAGTCCAAACCAAAAGTGCACTGCTCCTCTGGAGCTCTCCGAGAAGAGTCACTGAACCACTTAACAAATGCCATTCTTATTTTTTTTTCTTTTTTTTATCATGATTTTTTTTTTTTTATAAAGCATATGGAGTTCCTAATAACACTGATGCTTTAAAGTGGAAATTGTCTTCTTTTTTTCTGTCATCTTAGTCGTTTCTTGTCTGTCATTTTGTCATAAGATTTGAGATGTGAACTTAAGTCATTGTGACATTTATTGCGGGAAAAAGAAATGCTTAAATTCCTCTCTGTGAACCACAAGAGGCTTTGGACTGCTTATGTTCTTGCTAAAGCCATATGTAACTGCAGCCCTCAAACCAAACCCTTTTTTTTTTTCCTGCACGCAGAAAGCATCTTTTTCAATAAGTGGGACCAGACCAGTGGGGAACAAATTATCAGTCCCAGAGACGCTGGCTTAGGAAAGCAACTATTGGTTCTCCCGATTGCTTTGTAGTACCTTTGCTATGTTGACTAAATCACACACCAAAATCACCACAGCTTCGCCTTCTACGCGTTTACATCGATTCACAGCGTGAACTGGTGTCTTACTTGAACTTAGCGGTCATTGCCAGTTATTTTTTTCACTGCAATATCAATCAGGACGGTCAGTGTTCATATCTGGAAAATCTGTGGTCATGCACATCTATCAGATTTTCATCTGTAAGAAAAATATGCGCATACCAGAATAAGCTAACATCCATCAAGTTCCAGTGCAGGAAACTGCTTCCAGAGGCTTGAACATCTGTCCGTAGGAAAGCCCTGTGTGTATGTTTCTATTCGCCAATATTAAAGGGGCAGTCTGGCCAAAATGAAAAACTTAACCATGTCTATATTTGTTGTAAACATGCTTATTCACCCCCTTCTGATGATGTATCTTGAAGGAAGGGGGAACTTTTGGCAACTTTTGGAAAAACTACAAGCGCTTTGGGGTGGGCTCTTTGCTACGAGCTTGCTAATGCAGAAAGAAGCCAGATAGCTAACATTACTTCTAGAAAGATGAATATCACGTCTATATTTGTTAGCCTATATATCAGTGAATTTCTTTATGGCAGTAGGGTGGATTCCCAGTGGTTACATATGAGCTTTGCATGCTGGGTATTGTAGTGAGAGAACACTGATGGATGACAACCCAAAAAGATGCAAAGCTGTGAATTCCGGTGATCCGATGAGGCTGAGGGGTGCAGCGTTCTGCTACAGAGTACTTCATAACATGACAAATAACATTTAAATGCTAGTTTTAGGTCGAAATGCCCCTTAAAAAGAACCAGATTTTCCCTTTTTTTAATATTCTTGCTAGCAGAGTCTTAAATGATGCATATATAAGCTTCATTGTCATGAATTAATATCACCTTCGTCAAGCGGGTTTATAGTCGTGTCTTTCAATTTTTTTCTTTTTTAGTTCTTTATTTATACCCCCTTTTATATGCTCTGACCACAAGCTTTATCATATTTTTCTTTTGTCATTTAGTGTATTTTGAAGTCTTCAGGCCATGTCAGGAGTCTTAACGCCTGCTTTATATGTGCTTTCTCTTACACTCCAGTTTCTCTGTGTACATATTTATTTATTATGAATGTGTTCTTGTCTTTATTCTTGGAAAACTGCACTCCATTTATCTAAGGCAGCTCCAGAAGGCCTCACACGTGCACGCTTGTCTACAGTGTGCATGCTCTCATGCAGATACTACTGATGAGTATTTTTCTATCATCTGTAACCCCCTCAAATGCACGTACGACGTCACTGAAGCTGCTAGTTTACGATAAAAGGTGCTCAAATGAACACGGTTTGTGGCTTTTGTGGCTTTTCATTCCAGATCTTTGTTATCACTGTTGTTGGTCATTAATCTTTGCATTGCGTTTGTTGATTATAAGATGTTTCACGTGGCATTTTGCTTTCTGATTTGTCCTTTTTAAATCAAAAAAGGATGGATTGTAAAATAAGACAGTTAAGTATATACAAGACAAAAGTATATAGCTGCAGTTATATTGAATTATACACCAGATTACATGAGAAAGAAATTATTTTTTTCCTTAGGATCACAGCGTGTGAGAAGATGCGAGATGAGAAAATGAGGTGGCCTAACCACTGAAATACATTTTATTTTATTATATTTTTCTTTCTTACATATATGTACTTCCTAGGATAAACGCTGAGGGTATTTCTCAGTTTTTGTAGTACCGTGGACCAGGTCTGAGGACAGCAGGACAGTTTCAGTGTAAATCTAAACCAAGTCACTTGCTTTATAGGAACATGTCTGTGTTTAACAACTTGGAATTCCTGCAAAGACTGCATACCATATGATAGACCTCCTTTTTGGATCAAAGTACACTGTGGGCTTCGTATTAAACTGTTTCACTCCTTGGAGGACATTAAAATACAAGCACTGAAGTGTATTTTGTCTTGGATTTTTATTCCAGCGTTACAGTTTGCAGCGGTCTTCACTTTATTTATGAATTAAAGTGAGTCATACTGGCCAGTCCAGTCCAATGAAGTCCAAACACATGAAGTGACTCATTTAGTACTGATGAAGGCAGATGGACTGAGCAGGTTCGACTATTTTGATTATTCTCGCATTTTGATTATCTGTTAATGAAGTTTCAGCAGTTAAAATAAGACTTAATTTACTCAGTGATACTTTTTTTGAGAAATAATGCTAAAATAACAAACTTTTTTTACTACTTATATCTGTGAAATTATATGAAAAACATAAGACTACCAAAAAAAATCTTTATTTCTCAAAATTTATAAAAAAAAGTTAAAATAACAAACTTTTTTTTACTACTTACATCTGTGAAATTATATGAAAAACATAGACTACCAAAAAACCATTCTTTTTTTAATAAATTTTGAGAAATAAAGTTAAAATAACAATTTTTTTTACTACTTATGTCTGTGAAATTATATGAAAAACAAACTACCAAAAAAATTTTTTTTTTATAAATTATGAGAAATAAAGTTAAAATAACAAACTTTTTTTACCACTGTCTGTGAAATTATATGAAAAACGTAAACTAACAAAAAAACATTTTTTTTATATATATTTTGAGAAATAAAGTTAAAATAAACTTTTTTTTACTACTTATATCTGAAATTATATGAGAAACATAAACTAACAAAAAAAACATTTTTTTTATAAATTTTGAGAAATAAAGTTAAAATAACATTTTTTTTTACTACTTATATCTGTGAAATTATGTGAAAAACAACTAACTAACTAATTTTTCATAGTTGTTTAAATATAGACCGTTCTTATTGGGTCACTGCACTGTCTTGAACGCGCCTTCATTCATCAAGGCTTCTCTCGGGGGCGCGCACCACTGGTGCCCAATAGGCCCCTCCCCCTCGTACGTCACGCTCCCAAGCCGACCAGTGAGAAGGGGAGGGGGCGGGGATTGGGTGAGTGAGTTTCTTCACGAGAGTACATGCGGGATGGGGGGCGCTTGTAGTCGTGCACGAGCGCTGGGGGGTAGAACGCTGGGGCAGATGCTGGAAGTGGTGCAGAGTTTCTCCTCAAGCGTTTGTGCTGCTCGTAGCAGAAGGTGTCGAGAAGATACCCGGCGAGGAGGGGAAGAAGGGGAACTCTAGGAGTGTGAAGACCCCCACATGGACCACCAGGGGCAAGAGAACCTTCATCAGGGCAGGATTCAGTGCAGAGCCAGTGGCACCTTATGCTCAGGGGGTCGAAGACTTATGAGTATGAGGAGGTTCTCGTGAGACATGATGGCAACGAGGGCATAACCGGAGCTTCTGTTGGTTTCACAGACTTTGGATGAAGGTTGTTTTTCTCTGAGGCTGGACAGAGCGCAGTCCGGACCTGTGGCCAGTTTCCCGAACAGCCTTTCTAAACCTCAATAGGTGTTTCTTCTTCTTTTCGCTCGTTCTTTGGAAAGCTATGCGGACTCGGGGGACACTTTTGCACTGGACTGCCTTCCTGACCCTTGTTCTCCTGTCAGTCCAGGCTTTCCCCGCCCTCACGCCTAAAGCTGGGGAGGCCAAGCCCGGGAGCAGCGCCGCCCTGCGGGTACGTGAGCACAGCACCCTCGCTGGGGTTGGTGAGGTGCTGTGATGTGAACTTAAAGGGCAATTATTTATTCTTTTGAGATCAGCTTTGGTCCCCACCTGAGCTGGAGCTGATATCAGTTCGACTTTTGTCCGTTTTCCAGACCCAGATTAAGCCTAAACCTAGGATAAATTGGATTTTTAATGCTGGAACACTATGGGCCAGTTTCCCAGACATGGATTAAGACTAGTCTCAGATTAAACTTCTGTGCCAATGATGGCTTAATCTAGGTTTAGGAAACTAGCGCTGTTTGCATTGCAGCGTAATCCAAGACTAGGTTTAATCCATGTCCAAGTAACCAGCGCTATGGCTTTCAATTACTTATATATTTAAAATAGACCCAGATTAATCCTAAAACTAGATTAAATAGGATTTTTAACAGTAAAACACTATAGGCCAGTTTCCCACATGTGGATTAGACTAGTGTTGGACTAAACCACTGTGCCAATGATGGATCACCATTGAAAATTCTTTTTAGTCTAGGTTTAGGCTTAATCTGGGTCTAGGAATTTAGCGCTTTTTGCTTTGCAATGTAATCCAAGACTAGGTTTAATCCATGTCCAAGACTTTCCTCCATTCACTTATTACATATTTATACTGTACGTAGACCTGTTGTGCCTTGAGCATGAGTGAATAATGACAAGGGAGTCAGTTTCCCAGACCCAGATTAAGCCTAAATATAGACTAAAAAGAATTTCCAGTAGTAATTCTTCTTTGACACTTAAATTTAGTCCAAGATTAGTCTTAATCTTTGTCTAAGTAAATTGACCTATTTGCATTGCATTGTAATCCAAACTAGGTTTAATCCATGTCCAAGTAACCAGCCCTATGGCTTTCAATCACTTACATATTTAAATAGACACAGATTAATCCTAAAACTAGATTAAATAGGATTTCTAATGCGGGAACACTATAGGCCAGTTTCCCAGACATGGATTAGACTAGTGTTGCACTAAACTACAGTGCCAATGATGGATCACCATTGAAAGTTCTTTTTAGTCTAGGTTTAGGCTTAATCTGGGTCTAGGAAACTAGCATTGTTTGCATTCCAGTGTAATCCAAGACTAGGTTTAATCCATGTAATCCTCCACTCACTTATTACATATTTTTACTGTACGTAGACCTGTTGTGCCTTGACCATGAGTGAGTTATGACTAGGGGGCAGTTTCTCAGACCCAGATTAAGCCTAAATTTAGACTAAAAAGAATTTCCAGTGGTAATTCTTCTTAGACACTTAAATTTAGTCCAAGATTAATTTTAATCTTTGGCCAAGAAATTGACCTATTTGTGTTGCAGTTCAATCCAAACTAGGTTTAATCCATGTCCAAGTGCCCAGTGCTATGGCTTTCCATCATTTTAATATTTAAAACATTTATACTGTACATTGATAAAGTACCCAGATAAAGTGCCCAGATACTGTACCTAGATAATGCCTAAACTAGACTAAATGGGAGTTTTAATGGTGAAACACCATGGTCCAGTTTCCCAGACATGGATTAAGACTAGTCTGGGAATGAACTACAGTGCCAGTGATGAATTACCATTGAAAATTCGTTCAGGTTTGGGCTAAATCTGAGTCTACGAACCTGATCCTGTTTGCGTTGCAGCGTAAGGCAATTCTAGCTTTAATCCAGACCTAGTTTAAGTCTAAATATATACTAAAGAGAATTTCCCACACTTAAATTTACTCCAAGATTAGACTTAACCTCTATCTAGGAAACTAACTCTATTTGCATTCTAATGTAATCCAAGACTAAGTTTAATCCCTGTCTAAGAAACCAGCCCAATGGTTTTCCATCATGCCTTTATACTACACATAGACATGTGATCTGAAAATGGGTGAATAATGACTAAAGGCCAGATTCCCAGACCTAGATTAAGACTCAACCTGGACTGGGTAATTTTCCATTGACATTTAAATTGAGTCCAAAAATGGGCTTAATCCATTGTCCATTATTTATGTGCTTTTCATTTAGTCTAAATGATGAGTTCTAGTTCTGCAGGCATAAATAGATTACTAAGATCACCCTGGGGATCCAACCCTGTAGATCTAGTTGTACCTAACTGTGCCTTGTCTCAGTAGTGACTGTTGCAGGTCAGTGCTAAGATCAGCTGTATTTTCTGTCATGTGGGAAAGGGTTTGCAGGTTCAAGTGGCCAAGCACTGGTCCAGGTTTAAGTCATGCCAGAGCTCATCTCATACTGAAGCAGGTGTCTGAAACGCTGAAGTGTAGATGTTTGTAGTGGCAAGTGTAAGAGTGGCCCGTTGGTTAGAGGTCAAACTGCCCCACTAGTTCCCTGATAAAGGGTGATTGATGATTGGAATGGTGTCAAAGGCTAATCGGTGATGTACTCTGTAGTAACTGTCCCAGAATGTATGTAGTTGGAAAGGCTGTTTAGATAAGCAGTAGTTGAGGCTTTGAATCCCAGTCGTGTTGTGTGCTGTCTTTGGCTGTCCAGTTGGCCCGAATACAGTTGGAGACGTCACACAGGGATAGTAGTGGGATCTCCACATATGGAAAACATAATATTTTAAGCACATTGTTGCTGTCAGACCTTGTATCTCCATTTTTTTCTTTCTTTTTTTTTTACCTCAGTTGAAAACTGCAGCTTCAGCTGAAGTAAAAAAGGTGGTGATACAAGGTCTGACAGCAACAATGTGCTTAAAACATTATGTTTTCCATATGTGGAAATATTACTATCCCTGTGTGAACATTTGATAATGAACACACCAAAAAAATGGCCCAAAATTACTTAGTTACAATAATTTGCCTTAAAACCTAGTAACATTTTATCTTCCTCTTGTAAACCATTTTTAGCGATGCAAGGTTTTTCTATTCTATTTATATTCTGAAATATACATTTAACAATATATATTGTTTCATTTTTGTGCATCTCTCTTGTTGGCCAGGTGGCCGAGTGGTAGATTTGACCATGTAACATTTTCCTCCACATTTGTTAAAGGGGAATTCCACCAATTATTCCAAATTTCTGTATAATTAAATAGTTAAGATAGAAACAAAGTCATTCGCTGTGGTTTGATGCGAAACGCTCCAGAGCTGTTCACAGTGGTGGTGATGGGAACCAGACATCCAAAGAGTTTAACGCCTCTAAAATCTCTTTCTCAGAAAGTTATTACATGTAATGGTTATGAATACACTGTCTGATGCTTGAGGCATTGTTTAATATAGTTCTGAGATAAGATTTTGGTCTAATGGATTTTTTAAATCCATTTGTGATGGAGCTGTACACACAGGCGAAACCATCCCAAAAGAAAACATACTTTTTCGGATTTACCACTATTATATTTAAAAACCAAGAAGGTACACATAGATTCACTGGTGGTTTTGGATAGTAAATAAAGTGGCTATATTTGTGGTGCAGACATTGCAACCCCTGGTTCTTATCACCACCACTGTAAGGAAACCTAAGTTGGTAAGTTTCTCTATAATGCTCCATTTCACACCAAACCACTCTTAATGACTTTGTTTACATTTCAATGACTGAATTATGCAGGTTTGAAAAATGGGTGGAATTCCCCTTTAAGATGCTTGATAATGACCAAAGGTTCGAAAAATACATACACTTACACAAAATTCATACGGTATGGAGGAGATCAGAGGAGCCACTGGTTTCAGAGAATGTGTGGCCTAAATTGAGAGATCAGCTACAGCAAACAAATACAAAGAAATCAGCAAGCTGGTTCAGCTTAAAGGGCAGTGGCATGATTCTTTGCCCTATATTTGCAGCACCAGCTTTATGGAGTGTTACCACAGGGAGGAAATGCATTTTCACCCCAGGCAGACTTTTACTAGCCACATACCCTGCTAAAAACAACCCGTGTCATATACAAGCCCTCTGTGAGGACCTGAAGAAACTGAGGCTACTGTGCTTTACAGAGATCTAGTTTGAATTAGACAGTAGATCAGACGCGTCATGGGTCTTACAAAAACAAAACAGCAGAAGTTATGACTTTTGACTGATGCTATAACATCTTTAGAGGTCAACGGTAGCAACATTTGTTTATTTGATGTTTGTTAGTGACGCCTTTAGAGGGCGGCGGTGAGTGACGTTTGTTTCTTTGATGTTTGTTAATAACACCTTTAGAGGGCAGCAGTGAGTGACGTTTGTTTATTTGATGTTTGTTAATAACACCTTTATAGGGCGTCAGTGAGTGTCGTTTGTTTATTTGATGTTTGTTAATAACACCTTTAGAGGGCGGCAGTGAGTGACGTTTGTTTCTTTGATGTTTGTTAATAACACCTTTAGAGGGCGTCAGTGAGTGACGTTTGTTTATTTGATGTTTGTTTAACACCTTTAGAGGGCGGCAGTGAGTAATGTTTGTTTATTCGATGTTCGTTTAACACCTTTAGAGGGCATCAGTGAGCGACGTTTGTTTCTTTGATGTTTGTTAATAACACCTTTAGAGGGCGTCATTGAGCGACGTTTGTTTCTTTGATGTTTGTTAATAACACCTTTAGAGGGCGTCAGTGAGTGATGTTTGTTTATTCGATGTTTGTTTAACACCTTTAGAGGGCGGCGGTGAGTGACGTTTGTTTCTTTGATGTTTGTTAATAACACCTTTAGAGGGCGGCAGTGAGTGATGTTTGTTTATTCGATGGTTGTTTAACACCATTAGAGGGCGGCGGTGAGCGACGTTTGTTTGTTTGATGTTTGTTAATGACGCCATTAGAGGGTGGCAGTGAGTGACGTTTGTTTCTTTGATGTTTGTTAATAACACCTTTAGAGGGCAGCAGTGAGTGACGTTTGTTTCTTTGATGTTTTCTTAATGACGGCTTTAGAGGGCGTCAGTGAATAGGCTTTATTAATTACATATTGCAATGAAAAGAAAAGACAACAAAATTGTTAATTGCAATTATTTATACGGCAATGAATTGTCAGCTAAAATTCCGCGATAGTCGAGGGCCGACCCTGCCTATGTGTAGTGCAAGGACGTCAGAA